TGCTTACTCACACAGTCCTCTGTGCTAGAACTTGGGGACGATAGAGCATATCTACTACCAAGTACCCGCAATCCCACAGTCCTACATCCTGGGGCTTGGCTGACCCTGTTTTACACTCCAAGCCTAAACTATATCCTGCAGTGCGGAATCTGTCTGTAGTGGCCCCACCTGCTCCATTTTTCATATCACTACCAAAATGATCTGCCATAAAGACCCTTGTCCCAACACCACCTCTCACAGGCCTACAGAAAGTTCCTTAAGCACTGGACTCTGTTGGCCTTCCAAGCCTTATTCTCTAGCCAGTCCGATTCTTGCTTTCCCAAACGCCAAAGCCACAGTCACCAGCAACCCCTCAGCTTCAGGCACCTGCAGTGTCTCCTGTGTATAAGCCCTTGCCTTCTCTACCTTCCTTTAAGATCTTACCAGAGTCCCACCTGCTTCAGGAAGTGGACTCTTCTTACCACTCTGGGGTCTCCACTTTCTCCACCCACTGAATTTTTCAAGAACAGCGAGCTGCTCTCCTTTCTCCTCCCTCTCTCTCATCAGTTTCGTACTGCCATGCACAGGTTGCAGGCTGCAGAGGCCTCCTAATGGCAAAGTGCTATATATACTCCACTACGGAAATAAAGCTTTTCATGTTTTGCCACATGCAAGTGAAACTTAAGTTTCAGTTTTTCTGAAGTAAACAATTAGGAATCTTATCTTGTTATAGAGAAGCTGTAAAGCTCAAAAAGGTTTATGTAGGAAGCCAAAGACAACATTTCTGAAATCTACCACGTACGGCTGTACAGTGGGATTACCGTTCCAGAAGCCACTGGGGCATGCTGCTGTTTCAGGAGAATGCTGACACTCCACAGGTAACGGGGTAGAGAAACAAATCCTAACATTTCTCATATGCATATCCTGACGTTCCTAAAATGAATGGAATTTAGAGCACTCTGAAACAGCTAAAATTGTGAAAAGCGCTTGCCTAGCAATAAGGCCTTGAGTGTAATATCTAGTACTGAAAAAACAGTTAAAGAACAAAACTATAAAATTCTCTAGATAATATATCTGCAAGCACATAATTGGAAGCCAAACTAGGGGCTTTTGTTTGTCTTTGCAGCATTGGGGTTTGAACTCAGGATCCTGCGCATGGAAGGCTGCATTCCACCACCTGAGCCACTCTTCTGGCCATGGGAACTTTTCTGCCTGGGGCTGGCCTCAAACAGATCCCAGATCTCAGCCTACAGAGCAGCTAGAGTTACAGGTGGGAGTCACCAACGCTTGGCAAATTATATTCCCCTTTCCTCCCCCCTCACCCACTTCTTTTTAAAAATCAGTTTTATACATGAGAATGTAGTCCAAAGCTTTGTGTCTCAGATCACAGAACTTCTGAGAGAAGGGCTTTCATAAAATATAAGCAAGAACAGCAAGTGACACTAGTGATAAACATTAATAACATAGGGGCAAAGAACATAATCTAGAAAACTTGGCTAAGCCAGTTAATGCAGGAGGCTGAGGCAAGAGGATCTTGAGTTTGAGGCCAGCCCGGGCTATCTATCTAGTGAGACTCAGCCTCAAAAGCAAAACGAAGACCCCAAGATCTGTGAGGTACCTCTCCTCGGCAGTCCATCGTGTGTCCTCACTAATGAGAGAGAGCAAAGCATAATGTGGGGTAATGCACTGAATGCACGTCTACGCACCTTGTATCTACACTGTAGACTGTAAAAGCAGCTCCTGAGAGGACATCCCAAAACACAACTCAGGGTTGTTCTAGTGAACAAGACCTTTATCTGAAAGGTGTGTGTGCTAGGCAGAAGTATGCTTTTCCTTCTTATTTGGGGGGCTGTCCACACCACATGGTATCCAAGAACATTCCCTCATTTCTGCCACCATGGCGTCCAAACCTGCCATGCTAGCAGCCAACCAGGCATCTAGGTGGATCTGGGAACCAACTCATTTATAAGGTGCTTACAGGAAGATACTGTTGAGTTCCCAAGAACTAGCTTACATCTCCACATCAACTTAGAAAGGTCAGTATACTCTGCTTTGAGACATATACCTTTATTAAACATTTTACCCAAATGCAACTCAAGCTGAGTCCAGCCCTTTAGTTTTCCAAATGAGGAAATGCAAGTTCAAGGTCACTAGGCAGTTTGACTTTGGACTAGAACCCAAACACAGGGTTCTTTGTGGTCCCTAGTAGGCAGGTCTGACTATTTCCCCAGTGACAGACTTCCTTCCAAGCACACCAATGACCACTGGGTGCGTGTTTTTAAACCACAGCTCTGGGGATGCATTGTCGAATCAGGAGAAGCAGAATTTGGTCTGAAACCGGCTCTGCTTTGTATCGCGTGTCAGACACCACTGCGTGTGGCAGGGCCATCATCTCCCGGGAGCATACCACTTACCACGCCTTCCCTGCTTTTATCTACCCAGCACTTCCTCCTATTTCCCGGGCTCCCCACAGACACCTGCACTGCTGGCTGATGCCTCTGCCACCAGCATTCAGTGTGTGCAACAGCGAGTCCCAACAATGCGCAAGACCTAGTCTGACCCCGGGCTCCTCTGCACGAGGCTCTCCACAAGGAAGCCTTCTATGACAAAGCTAAGCCTGGCTTTCATGCACAACTTTAACTGTGAACCACAGGAAGAAACAAATGACTTGCCACACATCCCTTTTCACACACACTCAATGCAAATTCTATTGCCACCGTCTTACTATGTGCAGCGAAGACCAATTTATCATGCATGTTTCATTCTGTATTTAATATAGACATAGCATGCCACTGTTCACTGTGGCACTACTGACAACAGCCACGATGTGGAAACACCCTACGTGTCCACTCACACAACAGATAACTGCCAAAGAAAAAGTAAGTTTTTTTCCTTCCTTGTTTTTGTTTTCATCTTGTCCCTTTATCTGTTTATGGGGTTTTTATATGTCTGGGGGGGGCACAGAAATACAAGGACAAAGGGTAAACAAATTGAGCAGTGGTACTCACTAGATACCATGCTGAAAATGAACTATACAACTTGAGGGTGAGGATAGGAGGGAAAAACTTGGAGAGAGCAAGGAAAGGGGTGGCATTGTCCAAAAAGCAATGCACTCTACCTCACTTATGTAACTGTAACCCCTCTGTAGGCAATCTTTTTAAGAACAACATCAACAACAAAAGCCAGAGATGTGGGTTGGAGTTTTCTGAATCTGTTTATCAACTTACTAATGTGTCATGGCTTGCAGATTGGAAAATGGTGCCTCTTTGTGGGATGACAACTTGAGTCACACTGAGGAATCGAGGCTTGGCACATACCAAGTACCACTGTGGTGTAAGTCCAGGGGGGAGAAGGAAGGGGGAGGAGACCAAGGCGCAGCCCAAGTGCCATCTCCCCATCCATCTGAAAATTCCACAATCTTAATTCATCCTCCGCCAGGCGGCCGACTTCCAGCTGGACTCCCATCACTGGAAGGCAGCAAAACATCAACTGATAGTTTCATATTTCACTTATGACAGAATACTTGGAGCGAGAAACCTGGAGATGCAATTTAAACAGTCACCATGCTTTTAGAAAACAGCTTTGGCATGTTTTAGTGTAAAGGCAGGAAACCTTACTAGAGTATTACAAGTCCAACTTCCCAATGTATCTTTGATACCTGACATCTCATTTCAGGACATTATCTTTTTAAGATGGCTACAAGGCTAGGCTCCGTCTTCTCCCCCTTACAGAAGCAGAATACAAACACTGTATTTGCCACTCTTTTCTACTCCCCTTAAATCTGGGGAGGAGAAGCAAGCCTTCTCTAGACTAAAGCTGTCAAAGTGAAATCCTCCATACTATGTTTCAAGGCCCTATTTCAGCTCATCTTACTTTAACTCAACACTTTCAAGTCACTGAAAACAGGTAGGTCTAAATGCTTTTCTTGCCCATGGAAGGAATGGTTTTTAAAGCAGGGAGACTAAGTAGAAGGGGTGTTCAAAAGTTTCACGTTCATGATATTGTGTCTGGCATGATGATTGGCCACTTAGCTCTCTTTAAATGTGGAAAGTGGCATAAAGGAAACTTTAACTTGTAGTTGCTAAAGAACGGCTAGTCTTCTTACTGTAATTCCACAATTACCTGATGCCAGCCGTACCCAGCACAAGGCGTAGGCCCAGGGCAAGAAATAATCAACCCTGCTCCTCTTGGGTTGACACTCTCCTGTGAGTGGCCCGTAATATACCAAAGAAGGTGTAAAGGACAATGAACTTAAAACTGAAGAACTCTCACCATACACAGCTGCTGTCCGTTCCTTTTCGTTCCAAAATATGATAAGACTATTTCTGCAGACACATCAAGTTACTGTTACTACACTTCTCGGATGTGGAAAAGTTCCTTCCACCAGCTGCAGGAGGCCGGACTATCCAGCCAGTCTGTTCTGTGGGAAGGTATTTCTGAGCTGGTAGCACATCCACCGTTGAAACTTAGGCCAAGAGGGAGAAGTTGGGCCCAGAGACAATCAGAGGAGGTGAACCACCTCGGACAAATGCCCTCACCCTCAACCCAGACCGGCCATCTCTAGAAGCCATTAATTTTTACGTACTGCATACGAATTAAAAAACAAAACAAAACAGGAAGGTGGACAAGGCGGCAGAAAGGTGATTCCAGTAAACCAGAGCTTCAGGACGCAGAGCCAGGCTCCTGCCCGCTCCAGGGAAACCTGCTCGCGGTGAGAACCCTGGTCAGCCACCCGCTCCATGCGGGAAGCGTGGGGGAGAAGTTGGAGAGGTTCGGGAAGGCGCCACGGGGCCGGCAGGTCTCGGGGTCCGGGCCCCCGATCAGCAGAGGCTCTAACTGCACTGGTGCCGGGTGCGCCGGGCTCACGCCCTCCCCGGGCCCCCCTGGGAAGGGGAGCCCCCCGCCCCCCAAGATGAGAGGCCCGGACCGGAGCCAGCCCCCGGGCCGGGGCGGCGGTGGCAGGCCGGGTCCGGGGCCGGGGTCCGGGGCCGGGATCTGGGGTCCGGCCGGCCCGCGCTCACCTCGTCGCCCCACTTGAGCACGTCCTTGTGCCGGTCCTTCACGGCGTGGTAGATGTGCAGGAACTGCAGGATCCCGTGCCGCCGCACGTGGTCGGCGTGGCGCTTGGTGTCCTCCCAGCTGAGCGGCGACCCCTGGGCCAGCAGCCCCATGGCCGCCCGGCCCTCCGCTCGGGGCCGCGGG